GCGAGTTTAATTTGTGCTTCTTCAGTGCACTCGGTTTTTTTTTCACACGCGTCACTCACTTCCTTTTCCACTACAGACTGAATCTGGGCATGAAACCACCCCACCCTTAGAACGATTCAAGGCTCGAATTGACAGGTGTTGTTCAATAAACTCGTCCGCTCGGGACCGCCTGTTGCAGTCATTCGATCCCACTTGTCCGGAGTGCCAACTTTCCTTCAAGAATCCGACAATGAACAACCTTGTCTTGAGGCTCCATGCATATCGGTACGCCGCACCGGATTGGTGCTATACGGCGCCTTTACCAACTTGGGCAACAGCCTCTCCCGGTGAGGATTTGTCTGCCACCGTGGCAGCCGCGATGGACGCGCTAGCATAAAGCGAGGTTAAAAATTTAAAGTACAGTTTGTATCAAAGCCATTATTGAAACATACGTTTAAATTGTGCATAGAAAAATGGGTTTTCACTCTGTCTTGACTATAACGAACAGATACAGGGCTTCTACACAGCATGAATTCCGAAGCCAGTCCAATCGGTTGTGAAGTGAATCATGCTTCCATTTAGTACTCTTAAGCGATTAGTCCCCTCGTGTATGAATAGCGGAGCTCTGTGAATGCAAGCATTTCGTGCCGTCTCTTTAGTATCATAGACGATAACTCTCATTTACTTCGGTTTGGTGGTAACAAAAGACGTGGAAAATTAGGAATATTCTAAGATAACTTTTGTACGCAAGGTATAGCTTAATTCGACTTCTCGCAACCGCTTCAATGAACCAGTGAAAATGGGAGTTAACCTGACACAGCAGGATGTTGAACTGGTCGATGGTTCGAGTCTGCATAAGTTCTGGTGAATCCCAGCCTAATAACAGCTGCGGGTGGTTACGTGACAGTGAAGCGTCAGTGCGAGATTTCTGTGTTCCGCTGATTCTTTAAATTCCCAAATGTGCTGAACGGTTTGAGGTGCCACTTTAGAACCATAGCCAAAATACGCGGCCTCGCGTGGCCTCAAAAGCAGAGTCGCAAGCCGTGTGTCTGTTAGATAACTGGTTTAGGGACACGAGGGGCATGCAATTTATCATCATCATCATCATTATACACGTCAGCTAGAGGTGGGAAACACCTCAGCTACTGTGCCACAATACATAAATGAAAAAGGAAAATAAATACAAAAGTCGCATGCCAGCTGAGCTACCAGCAACGGATAGGCATCGTTCCGGTAAGCTACCAGCCGGCTACTAGGCAAAAAGAAAAATTGTTATGTTTGACGCTATGAAATGAGATCGTAGGTGGAAGGAAAGGCTAAAAGCGATGGGGAAGGACAAAGTAACTCACATCATGAACGCCACTGAGGTCGGCTCCGTGCTATGTCAGCAAGTGTATCCAGCCAAACGTGTTCACCGTCTTTTGGACCCCAACCAGGGTGCCCTGACGCTGCAACCGAGGCCAGCACAGAAGTGAGGGTCTTCATTCCTCTCGATCAAGTCATCGCTTGGCATCCCTCTTCTTCCATCCACATCCCCGGTGAGCAAACAACGCACGTCGTGGAAGTCGGTGGACTGGCATGCGCAACACGTGGCCCAGCCAACGGAGCCTGGTGCGTGAAATGACGGTGTTGAGCGGTTCAGTTCCTTTTCCTGTGCCGTAAACAAGGCGTCGAACACGCTCGTTACTCACGCGGTGTTTCCACCAGATGTGAGCCAAACTGCGAAGACACCGATGGTCGAACGTAACTAGCCTCTTCACGTCCGCCGATCTTAGGGGCCAGGTTTCGCAACCGTACAGTAAGGTCGAACGTACCGCTGCATTGTACACCCTAACCTTCAGGGCGAGAGTGATGTCGCGCCGCCGACATAGGTGGCGAAGGTTAGCAAAAGCACTTCGAGCTTTTGCTATCCCGTTTGTGATCTCGTCTTCTATCCCAAGGGCGCTGATACAACTTCCCAGGTAATTGAATTTCCGAAGGACTTCTAGCTGATCCCCATCAAGGGTCAGCGCAGGAGTCGATCTCTGCCAATCTTGGAAGAACGCTTTGCATTTCGATGGTGCAAAGCAAAGCCCGAAGCGGCTGACAGCCAGTGCTAATCTGTCCAGCGCGGCTTGGCACGTCTGGGAGCTGTCACAGATGAGGGCAATGTCGTCTGCATACTCCAAGTCAAGAAGTCGTTCTCCTGGGAGTAGCTCCTCCCCTTCCAAGTCATGTCCTGTAAATGCAATCTCCATGATTTCGTCAATAGCGAAGTTGAAAAGGAAAGGTGACAACGGGCATCCTTGTCTTACACCGCTGGAGATGCTGAAGGGTGGCGACAGCTTGCCGTAAGCTCTTACTCTGCCCGTGCTACGTGCGTATAATGCAACTTATACTGGGACTAGTGCGAGTCGGTCACACCAGTGGTCAACCGAGCGATCATTCACTCTGGTTCGAGTAAATCAACACGAACTAGCGTCTCGCGTCTAGTTCACTTAATTTGACGGAGTTAAAGTTGACAAAACATGAATGTAAACATTTACGAAACATCCGATAGAATTTCTTACTACTGACGTGCCTAGACGCATGTTCGTAAACCGGTTCAACTTTTCGATCATCTCCTTCACCATGCTATCGAGCTCGTATAGAAAACAAGGCCGTTTGTGTCGCTTTCACCCATTCGGAAACATGAGTCGTGTGTTGAGTATGAATAGAATGCTCACAGTCATTTGATCAACATCCTGACTGTTTTCTCAAAGCTACAGGATCGCATTTGTAAGAATCATAAGACCCCTCTGTCGAACGCGATCATGTCTGCTAACCTTTCTCATAGAAAGTCTGGATCTCTCTTCAGCATTTCAGATGATCAAGGGTGATGTGGCCAGTCGGTTTTGCCGTCGTTATCAAGTGATCTAGCCTGTTTATGCAATCACGAACGAAAAGGGATCAAACTTAACCTTTTATTGGACCACTGTGGAAAATGGTTACTTTTATAAATGCTATGCGTCAGCAATGGAAGTGATTGGTTATTTTCAGTCATTTCCCTCGTTTACCGCTTTTCATTGTATTGTCAACCCTAAGTGAGTCCCCCTATTGGCTAATGACTGCGAAAAGTCCAAAAGGTTATGTTCGCCATTTTCAGCAAAGTCACCCTAAATGTATGTCAGATTTAATCAACTAGTTGACATCTAATAAACGAGCCGCTATGCCTTCAACCTATCGTGTAAGCAGCTTCTGATTCCGTTTTCCACACGTTTGTGGTGATATCTGCCTGTGGTGACCATACCCGAAGGATTCTACGGGGGACTCTCCCACAAGTTTGTCACGACAAGTGGAGTGCTCCAAAACTCCATCTCTCTCGTGATCGGAAAATCACAATTGATCTTAACCCATTTCCCCAATCTCTTCCATGGTAATGACATTGTTAGATGACTTAACTATCCATGGGTTGAAATCAGTTGCTATTTAAGCGCTACTGAATATGGCTCTTGCGTAGATGTGTGTACCTTGGCAATATATTATTAAATTACATGACCCACCCATCGATAGTTCTGTCACCAGACAAATGGCCGGAGTGGTCGATCGGTTTACCAATCTGGCTACATTTCTATGAAGTCGTCGTTCAACCACGAATCAGCTTGGCTTTCTCCTAAGGTTCCTTATCAGTCTCGCGATACCTGCTAGAATTCGACAGACATTGTTGCTAACATCTAAGATCTCAATGCCGCTCCAAATGTAGAAGGACCCGTGTTTGGAAACTAAATAATGTTAAGGCCGCTACACTGCCGCGAGAATTCTCCGCTGTAATTGACTCAGGTGTTTCAGCAAACTCTTCTCATCTTCACCTGGCAGGATAAGTCGCCTGAGCTATCCCCACCTGCATATGCTGCAGTCTTAGCTATTACGCTTTGCTTTTAAATATATCGTGTTTGGGTTGACCTATGCATAATGCATCGCACGATGCCGATGAGTAGGGGCCTCCGGCTGTCCGTTGTCACATTGATCAAAGCCGGAGACAACCACAATTGACCGTTGATGAGAATTGCAACGATTACACCAGACGTCTCGCATGCGCTTACAGTGTTATGTCGGTGACCATAAAGAACCGCGTTATCATTTGATTGCGGACAGGTGGCGAAAAGTTGTCGAGATCTTCCCTTTGACAAAGTGCTTTCTCGGGTCAACTGGGTGTACGAAAATTCACCGCAGCACTGATTGCTTCGGATGATCCGACAATGAGTCACTAACTGTTGCCCACAGTTCGGTGGTGGAAAGGTAACGGCTTCAACCGACTGTCTCTACGTCCTGGATTCGACTCCCAGCCTGTCTTTATCTGAAGGGTGTAAACAGGCACGAAACTAGTGAGCAACACAACGTTTACTTCACCAATATCTGTAAATAAATAAATAAAGGTATATCTCTGGAACTGAAATGATAGTCTCCTTACCTTGCGAAAAGTTTCGTCGATGTGTGTAGACCACTTTAAGTTTTCGGATAAAAATACCCTAAGAAATCTAACAGTGAGTGAACTAAGTATAATGCATTCGTTAACAACCATGGAACCGCGTTCCTGGTCGATACTGGGGCTGAAGTAAGCGTGGTTCCTCCTGTACTTGGTGACGCAACCCAGCCAGCCACTCTCAGTCTTCGTGCTGCCAACGGCGCACTAATCCCTACTTACGGTCAGCGTTCTTTAACCGTTAACTTGGGTCTCCGTAGAACTTTTCGGTGGGTGTTCATTATTGTCGTCGTCCCGTTTGCCATCATCGGCATAGCCTTCCTCAGACCTTTCGACCTCTTGGTCGATGCGGAACAACAGAGGATAGTCGACTCCGCAACAACGCTCAGCGTTGCTGGTACCAACGCCGGCATTGCAAGTATCATCCCAGTCTACGTTTGCCCACAGACTTCCTCCGACTATATTCAACTATTTTCTCAGTACCCCAAGCACGTCCAGCCAATGAACGAATCTCTCCCCGTGGCATCTCAGGTCACGCACCATATCCGTACCAACTGCTCACCCGTGTCATCACGCCCGCGCTGACTGTCGCCGGAGAAACTAAAACTAGCTGGGGCGAAGTTTGAACATATACTCGAACTTGGGATAATCCGCCCTTGGTCATCTCCACTCCAGACGGTCCCAAAAAAATCTGGAGACTGGCGCCCCTGTGGTGACTACCTGACCCTAAACAAACTTACGGTCCAGACAGATAACCCATCCCACATATGCAGGACCTCACTGCATGCCTCACAGGTAAGACGGTCTTCAGCAAGATCGATCTTGTTCGAGCCTATCACCAAATACCTTTTGAGGAGAAGGACATATCTAAAACAGCCGTCATGACCCCTCTCGGCTTGTTTGAATTTTTACATATGCATTTTGGACTGTGCACCGCCTCACAGACTTTTCAACGA